GGCGCCGAGCCAAGATTTTTAAAACCTCTTAAGATATCTACTAAAGTAAAAAGAAAAGAAAATGGAAAAACTGCTTTCAACCATTTCTAGAACCACATAAATAGTATTTGTTTATATTGAAATACTTAAATGCCAATTGTAAATACATGTCAAATATTTATTGAAACAAATACAGTAAAAGACTTCTCCTGGACAATTTTTTCAAAACATGCCACATATTGCTACAACTAGCACTGTAGAAAACACTCATCTTTCTTGTAAGGTATTTGATAAATTGTGATTCATACTAATCTCTACTCACTCAATTATTGTGAAGTACTGAAATTTTATGAATATAATTGGATCATATAACCACATAAATGTGGGAAATCAGGATAAAATAACACATTTACTACATTTAACTAGTGAGTTATATTCTACTCTATTACCATAAAACAAAACTGATAAAATCAGAAGTAACAATTACAAAGGAAATTTTTAAACTTAATTAAGTACCTTGAAATATTCTTTTCTAATCTGTTTGCTCCGCCTTCTTTCTTCACTCTGCCAGATTATAGGTTGAGACTCTGGCCACTGTTCATCTACTTGATCCTTCTGATTTTCTAAGGGCTGTAATGAAACAATTTCTTTTAATTAAATAAAAGGGACCAAAATAATAGATACAATGGTCATTTAATTTGTTCTTACCTGCCATGCGAGGGGTGATAATGGTGAATTAACTTCATCTGCAGAGACACTAAAAAATTAAAGATGTCTGAATATGTTAAAATCTATAAAATAATCATTAAATATACATTATGAATGCTATAAAATTCTCCCTTTCTTTTTTTCTTTCTTTACTTTTTTTTTTTTAGAGAGACATAGTCTCACTTTATTGCCCTCAGTAGAGTGCTGTGGCATCACAGCTCACAGCAACCTCCAACTCCTGGGCTTAGGCGATTCTCCTGCCTCAGCCTCCCGAGTAGCTGGGACTACAGGCACCCACCACAACGCCCAACCATTTTTTGTTGCAGTTTGGCCAGGGCCAGGTTTGAACCTACCACCTTCAGTATATGGGGCCCAGGCCCTACTCACTGAGCCACAGGTGCCGCCCAAATTCTCCCTTTCTTTAAAAACAGAAATATAAAAGAATTTACCCATGCCTATGCTTTGGACCAATACAATAAAACTTAATGTTAATAAAAACATATTTAATTTTCTAATAACTGTTGCTCTAAAACAAATTATCAAAATGGTTTTATTTTATGCCAACTCTATGCATTCCCCTAAGAAATTTGTAGAAGCCAAGAGGTGTATAATATTTAGAGATACACTGTCAAAGGACAGATAGGATATTTATTATATTAAAATAATTACCAAAAACTAAAAAAAAAAATCAACTAGTAATTTACTTTGTCTAAATGTCAGAGGACATAAAGGAGTAATTCTTTTTGACCTATTGAATTACTGATTATGGGCCTCAACTCCTTAATTCTGACACAATAAGGGCTATGGAGGATATTCTTTTCATCTAGTTTTTTTTTTTGTTGGTATAAGTTAGACTGTGCAGTGCTGTTGTTAGATGGCAAATCTGAACAAAGAATTCCATTAGAAAAAATATAGAATGACATGAAGGTTATATTAACCAGTTTCAAAATGTATATGAAAACAGTACACTGTACCCCATGATTGCATTAATGTACATAGTTATGCTATAAGAAATTTAAAAAAAGAAAAAATATATAAACAAAATACCCACTGGAGCTGCGGTTACTTCACACTATTGTGGAATAGTAAAATAAAATAAAAAAGGTCATAAAATTAGAGAAAAATAATCCAATTTTCAAAATTTTATAGAACACATGATTTTTCCAAGAGAAAAAAAAATAACTTCCATATATCAACTATAATGAGTTGCAAAATAAATTAGGAACAATCCTATTCCTAAAAAGAAAGAAAAGTACAAAATACCCACCAAGAAACTTAACTACATGTACAAGACCCACATTTTTAAAAAACTACAAATGTCTAATAAGAGGCTCAAATAACTTAAAAGTTCTTTGACATTGGCCGAGATGGGCACATTTCAGAGCTCAGGAATTTGACACCAGACTGAGCAAGAGCAAGACCCCAACTACTAAAAATAAAAAAAACTAGCTGGGAATTGTGGTAGGCACCTTTAGTCCCAGCTACTTGGGAGGCTGAGGCAAGAGAATCACTTGAGCTTTGAGGTTGCTGAGAGCTATGATGTCACAGCACTCTACCAAGGGTGACAAAGTGAGATTTGGTCTCAAAAAAAAAAAAAGTTATTTGAAAGAAAGACTATTACAGGTATAACTTCCTTTTTAACTTAATTAGTAACTAAAATGGAATGTTTTTACTTGTTTTAGAAATCTAATAAAAGAGTTTCTTTTTTTTGGAAGACAGTCTTCACTCTGTTGCCCACGCTAGAATTCTGTGACATCAGCCTAGCTCATAGCAACCTCAAACTCCTAGGTTCAAGAGATCCTCCCCTTCAGCCCACTAAGTAGCTGGGATTATAGGCGCCTACCACAAAACCCAGCTATTTTCAGTAGAGACAGGGTCTCACTCTTGCTCAGGCTGGTCTCCAATTCCTGAGCTCAAAATATCCATCCGCCTTGGCCTCCCTGAGTGCTAGGATTATAGGTTTGAGCCACCATGCCTGGCCTGGCCAAAAAGTTTCAAAGCTAATTTTCAAGGATAGATAATCAAGAAAAGTTATATCATAATGGGGATTTCTTTCAACCAGATAATATTTTTGTACAAAAATATTATATAAAATGACAGTAAAAAGAAGTAGTACTAGCTCCAGAACCTACAGATTTTTCAATGGAAGAGGAGTAGAGAACCAGAAGTATAATACTTATGATAAAAATGACATTTAAAATCATTGTGGAAATAATGGATTGTGTAGCAAATAGTATATAGAAACAACTGATTAACCACTTGTATAATATACAGAGAAAGAAAGATGGAGAGAAGGAGATAGATAAAAATTGAAAGGAGGGAGGGAGGAAGGGAAAGAAAACACTAGATTCCTTACCTCATATGTAATATCAAAATTAATGAATCAAAATATTTAAATATAAATAAAAATGAAATCACAAAAGTATCAGAAAAATATGGGCAGTAATTTTTAAAATGTTGGGGTAGAGAGAGCCTATGGAAGAATCAAAACTAAATATTGACAAATATGAGAACATAAAATGGAAAAATTAGCCTTGGCTTCAGGCCAAGATAGAGTAACAGTGACCAGATTTATATCCTGACTAGAGAAACTAGAAGAATAGACAAAATATATAAAATTATGCTTTTCTGAAACACCACATGGCAGGCAAAAAAAATAACATTATCCATTAGAAATGAGTAATAAACAAGGCAAATCCCATGAATGAGCCAGGCTGCTGCATGAAGAGAGTTTACAGGCCACAGGTAAGGGAGGGAGGAAGAACCAATTAAAAGTTCATCCAGCTCCCTAACTTTAGGAGACAGAGTTGGGAGCCAGGGGAAAAAAGGCAGACAGAGTTCACAGGACAGAGTAACAAAGAAAAAAGCAATGCACATAGAAAGAACTTAAGAGATCTACAGAGGTGTCCTTCAGATTTTCATTTGAGTACGAATCTGTATGTGACGAAACTACTGTAGGCAAAAGAATGAAATCAAACCTCAAAAGATTAGAGGGAATAATTCCCATATTCACCAAGGACTAAGAGTAGGACTAGTTCCCCCCAGCCAGACTGAAAATCTTATAATTCATGAGATATCAGGTAAAGTAATAAGAAAAGTCTTCTCTCACTAGAAGGACAAATTTAGTCCTAGACTAAATACAACAATGGTCCCACATAACAAATGATAAAACTCAAGACCCCTAAATATCAAGTTGTTTCCAAGTAATTTAACCATATCCTACAACAAAAGTCAGAAATATTTATAGTAATACTACAATGTCCACACCCGAGAAGGCAAGCTTCATGATATCTGGCATTCAATAAAAAATTTAACCAAGCAATGTTCAGGAAGCTAAAAGAGAATATAACATAATAACCAAAGACATGAACAAAGTTCAAGAGATAAAAAGTACATCTAAAATTAAAAATGAACTGGATGGGATTAACTGCACATTAGACATTTCATAAGAAATGATTAGTCAACATGAAGACATAAGAGAAAAATCAGCCAAAACCAAACACAGAAAGAAAAATATTAAATAAGAATGACTAGAACATCAGAGTTCTGTGGGAAACTTCAAGTGGCCTATAAGTATGTATAATTGGAGTTCCATAATAGATGAGGTAAAATGACAAAAAAGATATTCAAAGAAATAAGGGCCCCCAAATTTCCAATTTAATGAAAATTTTAGTTTAACTCCAAACAAAAGAAACATGAAGAAAATTCCACCCAGATACATCACAACAAGGTTCTCAGAACAAGTGATAAAGAAAAACTGTTAAAAAGCACCCAGAGGAAAAAGGAACCAGTAGGCCCAGTTAAACAAATGTAAGAGTGTTCTCATAAGAAAAAGTGCGATCTAAAGGATGATGGAGAAACCTCTTTAAAATACTGAAAGAGGAAATTCCGGGAACATGGCCGACTAGTAGCAACCCTTGGCAGAGGCTCCTGATCAGAGGGAGTAAAACTGGACAGAATCGGACTCTATGAAGCCAAAGGTGGGGAGCTGAGCCAAGAAAGAAGTTGAGCAAGCTGTGACTCCAAGGAAGAGCATTCAAGAAAACAAATTACAGGTACAAAGCCTATCACCTAGAGGACTGGAGACCCCTCCCCCAAGAGGCAGGCCCACCTCAGGCTCTCTGCAAGCAAGCAGGGAACAAAAGACCTCTCATTTTACTGCGCTGGAGAGAGCCGCTAAACACCGGGTCTCTTTCTCTAGGGAGGTCCCACTTGTGAACCTAGACACCACCATGCCTGGCATAAAATTGAACAAATATTTTCCCCCACAATTCCAAACTCCTAGTCCACCCTTCCTCCCACCTGCTCATGGCAGTCTAAAGTTCTGCCCCGTGTAGAGTGCAGAGTGTTTGGTTTGTTTCTGAGAGATCTGGGCATAGTATGGACTGCTGAACATCAGGACGGAATCTGTGACTGGTGAGAAAGAAAGAGGGTGCAAGAAGAAAGGGTCACTCAGTGGAAGTAGGAGCAATCCCTTAGTTATGACTTTGCCTGGCCAGTGGTAGTATTGACCCTTGGTTGGGGCTGTGTCTATTGGGAAGGTATGCAGAACCCCAGGCTCTTACGGTGTCCTGAAGCAGAATGGTTGCCCGATGTAGACTGAGTTCCATAGATGGGGCTGGTCCCTGGTTCCAACCAGGCCAGAGAGCAGAGACTTGCTGGGTGTGGACGGAGGGGGTGGAGTGGGTGGTCTTCTGACTCCAACAGAGCCAGTGAGCTGAGGCTTGCCAGGTATAGACTGAGAATCGGCAGGTGGAGGTACAGGTTGAGGTGTGGTCCCCAACTCCAACTGAGCTGGCAAGCCCTGCTAACTGAACCTGGTGGGCGGGATCCCAGACTCCTGGCCTTGATTGTGCCCTGGGGATAGGGGTATTGACACCTAGTTGGGACTCTGACAGGCAATTCAGGGCTCAACAGAGGGGACTGGGCGCCATACCCTCAGGGATGCAGGACAAAACTGTCTGAGGATTTCAATCTGCAGTTGGAGACCCATGGATCCCTCTCTGTTGAGCAGGGTTTGTACTTTCCAAGACAATTTGACTGGAACCG